GAATTTATTCACATTCGGGGATTCAAGGTTTAGTGTTGTTATTGATTGGAAAAGGTTTTGGTAATGCTGTTGAAGTGTTTTGCTATTTATTTGTTTTCATCGTTGTTTGTATGTTTGGTTTCTTATTGTAGCTAGTAAGTCATCGACCATTTTATACGCCGAGTGTAGGTCATTTTGTTCAAAGAAGGCGTTCATTTCCTCGGCTTTCTTTTGAATGTATTCTTCCTTAGATGATTTTATTTTTTGTTTTAATTGTTTGTTTGCTTGATTGTATTTGTTTTTGTTTTCTGCTGTTGGATTGTTGAGCCATTGAAGTCTTAGTTGTTTTCTGTGTTTGATTTCTTCTTTTAAGTTTTCACTGATTTGTATTTGCCATCGGTTTGCTGCTGATTTTCGGGGATTTTCGGTTAAGGATGCAGCATACATAATGGTTTTTTCTACTTGTGTGAGATCATTTGTTTCATTTAATAGATTTGTTAATAATATAGGATAATCAGAGGATAATGAGTGTATGGTAGTTCTTGAGTTATTTTGTGTGCATGTCTTGTGTGTGTGTTTCTTGTTTGTTTGTTTGTATTGGAGTTTTATTATTGTGGTAAGCATGAAATGATCTGAGTTTGCGTCCAATGATCTTGAGTTGTGTATGTCGCATATTGTAATATTTGGATTGGGCTGATTGTCCAGTAGAATTAGATCGATGGTGTTTGTATCATTTGTGTTTGGGTGCATCCATGTGATTGATTTGTTTTGTGGTTTTTGTATGAATGTGTTCATGACTTTTAATTTGGTTGACTGGCATAGGTTGATTAATCGGATGCCATTTGGTGAGGTGTCTTCTTCCAGTCTGATTGCATCGCCAATAATGTGGGGATACATAGTGTGTAATTCTTGGCTAAGTCTGCAGTTGAAGTCACCCATTAGGACTATTGGTAGTCTGTTTTGTTTTATGCTCATTATTGTCTTTTTTAGTGAGATGTAGAAGTTGTCCTTTTGATTGTCATCCTCTGAAGATTCTGTCGGGGCATAACATCCAATAACGTTGAGGGACTGATTTGTTGATTTGAAGTGGACCATTAATGTTGCAATTCTGCCATTTATTTCATTGAAGTGAGATGTTGTGATGTTTGTGTGGTTATTGATGATGAAGGCAACACCTGTGTTTTTGTAATTGTTTGTGTCTGGGTTACAGTTGAATAAGGTTGTGTTTTCATCCATTTCCAGTATTTTGCTTGGCATTCGGGTTTCAGTAATCACTGCTAGGTGGTACTGACGTTCAGTTATTTGGCTAGCAATCTGGTGTAATTTACTTTCCTGCGAGCAACCACGGACATTCCATAGGCCAAATTTAAGTTTTTGATAATTTTGGGCTTTTTTTTTTGTCTTTTTTTGAACCATAAGTAGGGATGCATTGTTTCATTGTAGTTTTCGTAATCATGGGGTGGGTATAGGTAGAGTGGGTGATTAGCCCGATCTCCACCACCCGGGTTACCGCTCAGGTTAGTTCATGGAATCAGTCCCATGATCCAGGAGGCACGACGAGGACGTGTGAGTCGGATTTCGCCTCCCATCCCTGTGGTGCCCCTTCCAGCCAAACTGGTTGGTGAAGCCTATTGGCCCTTCTGGAGTAGAGGCTACAATGAAGCAAGGTACAATTACCGGGGCTCAATAGCTGTTTTCGCAGTTATTTTTTTCTTTGGCTTTACTTCCTGTCCAGTGATTGCTGACCATCTGTGTACTACATAGCAATGATTAATGATACCTTTTGCCATTGGTAGTGTTTTGTTGCATCCTGAAAATGGACAGTGTTGTGTGTTTTTTGTCTTTAGGGTGTGTGTTATTGTTGTGTTCAATATGTTGTTGAGAATACTGAGGATGACATGATTTTATATGTCTGTTTAGCCATCCGAGTGTTGTGTATGATTTGTTGCAGTCTGATAGAGGGCATTTTAAGTTTGATGTTGTTGATATGGGATCTGTGTTGCGTGTGTTGTGATCATTTCTGTAGTGTCTGTTCATTTCTTTCTTTGTAGCAAACATTCGGTTACAGTTTGGATTTTGACATGGGTGTGTGAGATCTCTTTGCCCGATTATTTTTGGGTGATGTGTGTTTGATGATGTGATTTTTACTTTTGTTGGCTGGGCTTGCCAATTTGTAGGTAGCTGGTTTTTCATTTCATGGATATCTTGGTTTAGTTGTCTAATCCAACTTTTTGTGTGTGCGTTTCGATGTTTTGTCGGATTCTCAATGTGGCTTGTCAGTGCTTTGATTATTATGTTATTTGGTCTTTTGTTCGCTGTATACCATAGGTTAAGGCGATTTTGCATTATTTTTGTTGCAATGTTGGGCAGTCGAATTTTTTCATGTAGTTGTTGTATGTTGAGTTCCTTCTTGTCTTTGATATTGAGGATTATTCGACGTGCTGTATTAAGGACAGCTTCTAGTCTAGACCAGTCAGTTTTTCTTAATACTATGGATTCTAGACTGTATGTGAGGTGAGGAATGATTAATGTATTGATTAGTGACGTTTTTGTTGATATGTGGAGTTTGTTGCTTTTTAGGATAGGTGAGATTTTAATCAAAGCATTTTTAGATTTGGATATGTTGTGTGTGATTGTGTCATTTGCTGTTCCTTTATTGTTGATTATTGACCCGAGGTAGAGAAAGTTTGTGATTTCTTCAATTTGTTTGTTTTCAATTGTTATTGAGGATTGGTTATCTTGTTTGTTGATTATCATGTATTTTGTCTTTGATATTGAAATTTCCATATTTAACGTTCGAAGATATTTTTGTAGTTCATTTAGTGAGTTGCTTGCTTCTTCTGTATTGTTGGCTAGTATACATAGGTCGTCAGCATATTCTAAATGTTTGATCGTCCAAGGTTCGTTGTTTTGATTTTTTAGTTCGACTCCCTTTAGAGTGTGATCAATTGTTTGTTCAAGAATTTGCTTAAATACAAGGTTGAATAGAGTAGGACCTTCTTTGCTTCCTTGTTTGACTCCTCTTTTCATAAAAAAGTTCAATTTGGTGTTTGCTAGGAAGCCTTTTGGATCGTCTAGTAGTTTATTCATGCATAAGTTTATGTTTCGGGATCGGCATGTTTTTGATAGAGCATTCTGAATTAGTTGCTTTGGTAAAGTGTCGAAGGCTTTTGTTAGATCTACGAAGATGATTATTATTGTCTTCCTTGAGTCAAGGGCGCATTGTATAATATGTCTGATTGTAGTGATTGCGTGACTGGTGGATAGATGCTTTCTGAATCCGAATTGTGTTGGTGGTATTTGATTGTCTATTTGTTGAACTAGTCTATTACATATTATTCCAGCGAATATTTTACTCAAGGTATCCAGTAAAAAGATACTTCTGTAGTTGTTTGGATCTGATTTCGATCCCTTGTTTTTGTAAATGCTTATTACGTTAGCATTTAGCCAGTGATCTGGGATATCATTTGGATTTGTCCAAAATTGATTCATAATATTTAATAGGATGCTTTGTGGTTTCTCCCCGCCATGCTTGATCATTTCGTTAGTTATGCCACTATTGCCGGGGGCTTTGTTGTTCTTCAGTTTCTTGATGACTGCTTGAAGTTCATGTGTTGTTAGAGGAAGATCATTGAATTTATTCACATTCGGGGATTCAAGGTTTAGTGTTGTTATTGATTGGAAAAGGTTTTGGTAATGCTGTTGAAGTGTTTTGCTATTTATTTGTTTTCATCGTTGTTTGTATGTTTGGTTTCTTATTGTAGCTAGTAAGTCATCGACCATTTTATACGCCGAGTGTAGGTCATTTTGTTCAAAGAAGGCGTTCATTTCCTCGGCTTTCTTTTGAATGTATTCTTCCTTAGATGATTTTATTTTTTGTTTTAATTGTTTGTTTGCTTGATTGTATTTGTTTTTGTTTTCTGCTGTTGGATTGTTGAGCCATTGAAGTCTTAGTTGTTTTCTGTGTTTGATTTCTTCTTTTAAGTTTTCACTGATTTGTATTTGCCATCGGTTTGCTGCTGATTTTCGGGGATTTTCGGTTAAGGATGCAGCATACATAATGGTTTTTTCTACTTGTGTGAGATCATTTGTTTCATTTAATAGATTTGTTAATAATATAGGATAATCAGAGGATAATGAGTGTATGGTAGTTCTTGAGTTATTTTGTGTGCATGTCTTGTGTGTGTGTTTCTTGTTTGTTTGTTTGTATTGGAGTTTTATTATTGTGGTAAGCATGAAATGATCTGAGTTTGCGTCCAATGATCTTGAGTTGTGTATGTCGCATATTGTAATATTTGGATTGGGCTGATTGTCCAGTAGAATTAGATCGATGGTGTTTGTATCATTTGTGTTTGGGTGCATCCATGTGATTGATTTGTTTTGTGGTTTTTGTATGAATGTGTTCATGACTTTTAATTTGGTTGACAGGCATAGGTTGATTAATCGGATGCCATTTGGTGAGGTGTCTTCTTCTAGTCTGATTGCATCGCCAATAATGTGGGGATACATAGTGTGTAATTCTTGGCTAAGTCTGCAGTTGAAGTCACCCATTAGGACTATTGGTAGTCTGTTTTGTTTTATGCTCATTATTGTCTTTTTTAGTGAGATGTAGAAGTTGTCCTTTTGATTGTCATCCTCTGAAGATTCTGTCGGGGCATAACATCCAATAACGTTGAGGGACTGATTTGTTGATTTGAAGTGGACCATTAATGTTGCAATTCTGCCATTTATTTCATTGAAGTGAGATGTTGTGATGTTTGTGTGGTTATTGATGATGAAGGCAACACCTGTGTTTTTGTAATTGTTTGTGTCTGGGTTACAGTTGAATAAGGTTGTGTTTTCATCCATTTCCAGTATTTTGCTTGGCATTCGGGTTTCAGTAATCACTGCTAGGTGGTACTGACGTTCAGTTATTTGGCTAGCAATCTGGTGTAATTTACTTTCCTGCGAGCAACCACGGACATTCCATAGGCCAAATTTAAGTTTTTGATAATTTTGGGCTTTTTTTTTTGTCTTTTTTTGAACCATAAGTAGGGATGCATTGTTTCATTGTAGTTTTCGTAATCATGGGGTGGGTATAGGTAGAGTGGGTGATTAGCCCGATCTCCACCACCCGGGTTACCGCTCAGGTTAGTTCATGGAATCAGTCCCATGATCCAGGAGGCACGACGAGGACGTGTGAGTCGGATTTTGCCTCCCATCCCTGTGGTGCCCCTTCCAGCCAAACTGGTTGGTGAAGCCTATTGGCCCTTCTGGAGTAGAGGCTACAATGAAGCAAGGTACAATTACCGGGGCTCAATAGCTGTTTTCGCAGTTATTTTTTTCTTTGGCTTTACTTCCTGTCCAGTGATTGCTGACCATCTGTGTACTACATAGCAATGATTAATGATACCTTTTGCCATTGGTAGTGTTTTGTTGCATCCTGAAAATGGACAGTGTTGTGTGTTTTTTTGTCTTTAGGGTGTGTGTTATTGTTGTGTTCAATATGTTGTTGAGAATACTGAGGATGACATGATTTTATATGTCTGTTTAGCCATCCGAGTGTTGTGTATGATTTGTTGCAGTCTGATAGAGGGCATTTTAAGTTTGATGTTGTTGATATGGGATCTGTGTTGCGTGTGTTGTGATCATTTCTGTAGTGTCTGTTCATTTCTTTCTTTGTAGCAAACATTCGGTTACAGTTTGGATTTTGACATGGGTGTGTGAGATCTCTTTGCCCGATTATTTTTGGGTGATGTGTGTTTGATGATGTGATTTTTACTTTTGTTGGCTGGGCTTGCCAATTTGTAGGTAGCTGGTTTTTCATTTCATGGATATCTTGGTTTAGTTGTCTAATCCAACTTTTTGTGTGTGCGTTTCGATGTTTTGTCGGATTCTCAATGTGGCTTGTCAGTGCTTTGATTATTATGTTATTTGGTCTTTTGTTCGCTGTATACCATAGGTTAAGGCGATTTTGCATTATTTTTGTTGCAATGTTGGGCAGTCGAATTTTTTCATGTAGTTGTTGTATGTTGAGTTCCTTCTTGTCTTTGATATTGAGGATTATTCGACGTGCTGTATTAAGGACAGCTTCTAGTCTAGACCAGTCAGTTTTTCTTAATACTATGGATTCTAGACTGTATGTGAGGTGAGGAATGATTAATGTATTGATTAGTGACGTTTTTGTTGATATGTGGAGTTTGTTGCTTTTTAGGATAGGTGAGATTTTAATCAAAGCATTTTTAGATTTGGATATGTTGTGTGTGATTGTGTCATTTGCTGTTCCTTTATTGTTGATTATTGACCCGAGGTAGAGAAAGTTTGTGATTTCTTCAATTTGTTTGTTTTCAATTGTTATTGAGGATTGGTTATCTTGTTTGTTGATTATCATGTATTTTGTCTTTGATATTGAAATTTCCATATTTAACGTTCGAAGATATTTTTGTAGTTCATTTAGTGAGTTGCTTGCTTCTTCTGTATTGTTGGCTAGTATACATAGGTCGTCAGCATATTCTAAATGTTTGATCGTCCAAGGTTCGTTGTTTTGATTTTTTAGTTCGACTCCCTTTAGAGTGTGATCAATTGTTTGTTCAAGAATTTGCTTAAATACAAGGTTGAATAGAGAAGGACCTTCTTTGCTTCCTTGTTTGACTCCTCTTTTCATAAAAAAGTTCAATTTGGTGTTTGCTAGGAAGCCTTTTGGATCGTCTAGTAGTTTATTCATGCATAAGTTTATGTTTCGGGATCGGCATGTTTTTGATAGAGCATTCTGAATTAGTTGCTTTGGTAAAGTGTCGAAGGCTTTTGTTAGATCTACGAAGATGATTATTATTGTCTTCCTTGAGTCAAGGGCGCATTGTATAATATGTCTGATTGTAGTGATTGCGTGACTGGTGGATAGATGCTTTCTGAATCCGAATTGTGTTGGTGGTATTTGATTGTCTATTTGTTGAACTAGTCTATTACATATTATTCCAGCGAATATTTTACTCAAGGTATCCAGTAAAAAGATACTTCTGTAGTTGTTTGGATCTGATTTCGATCCCTTGTTTTTGTAAATGCTTATTACGTTAGCATTTAGCCAGTGATCTGGGATATCATTTGGATTTGTCCAAAATTGATTCATAATATTTAATAGGATGCTTTGTGGTTTCTCCCCGCCATGCTTGATCATTTCGTTAGTTATGCCACTATTGCCGGGGGCTTTGTTGTTCTTCAGTTTCTTGATGACTGCTTGAAGTTCATGTGTTGTTAGAGGAAGATCATTGAATTTATTCACATTCGGGGATTCAAGGTTTAGTGTTGTTATTGATTGGAAAAGGTTTTGGTAATGCTGTTGAAGTGTTTTGCTATTTATTTGTTTTCATCGTTGTTTGTATGTTTGGTTTCTTATTGTAGCTAGTAAGTCATCGACCATTTTATACGCCGAGTGTAGGTCATTTTGTTCAAAGAAGGCGTTCATTTCCTCGGCTTTCTTTTGAATGTATTCTTCCTTAGATGATTTTATTTTTTGTTTTAATTGTTTGTTTGCTTGATTGTATTTGTTTTTGTTTTCTGCTGTTGGATTGTTGAGCCATTGAAGTCTTAGTTGTTTTCTGTGTTTGATTTCTTCTTTTAGGTTTTCACTGATTTGTATTTGCCATCGGTTTGCTGCTGATTTTCGGGGATTTTCGGTTAAGGATGCAGCATACATAATGGTTTTTTCTACTTGTGTGAGATCATTTGTTTCATTTAATAGATTTGTTAATAATATAGGATAATCAGAGGATAATGAGTGTATGGTAGTTCTTGAGTTATTTTGTGTGCATGTCTTGTGTGTGTGTTTCTTGTTTGTTTGTTTGTATTGGAGTTTTATTATTGTGGTAAGCATGAAATGATCTGAGTTTGCGTCCAATGATCTTGAGTTGTGTATGTCGCATATTGTAATATTTGGATTGGGCTGATTGTCCAGTAGAATTAGATCGATGGTGTTTGTATCATTTGTGTTTGGGTGCATCCATGTGATTGATTTGTTTTGTGGTTTTTGTATGAATGTGTTCATGACTTTTAATCTGGTTGACTGGCATAGGTTGATTAATCGGATGCCATTTGGTGAGGTGTCTTCTTCTAGTCTGATTGCATCGCCAATAATGTGGGGATACATAGTGTGTAATTCTTGGCTAAGTCTGCAGTTGAAGTCACCCATTAGGACTATTGGTAGTCTGTTTTGTTTTATGCTCATTATTGTCTTTTTTAGTGAGATGTAGAAGTTGTCCTTTTGATTGTCATCCTCTGAAGATTCTGTCGGGGCATAACATCCAATAACGTTGAGGGACTGATTTGTTGATTTGAAGTGGACCATTAATGTTGCAATTCTGCCATTTATTTCATTGAAGTGAGATGTTGTGATGTTTGTGTGGTTATTGATGATGAAGGCAACACCTGTGTTTTTGTAATTGTTTGTGTCTGGGTTACAGTTGAATAAGGTTGTGTTTTCATCCATTTCCAGTATTTTGCTTGGCATTCGGGTTTCAGTAATCACTGCTAGGTGGTACTGACGTTCAGTTATTTGGCTAGCAATCTGGTGTAATTTACTTTCCTGCGAGCAACCACGGACATTCCATAGGCCAAATTTAAGTTTTTGATAATTTTGGGCTTTTTTTTTTTGTCTTTTTTTGAACCATAAGTAGGGATGCATTGTTTCATTGTAGTTTTCGTAATCATGGGGTGGGTATAGGTAGAGTGGGTGATTAGCCCGATCTCCACCACCCGGGTTACCGCTCAGGTTAGTTCATGGAATCAGTCCCATGATCCAGGAGGCACGACGAGGACGTGTGAGTCGGATTTCGCCTCCCATCCCTGTGGTGCCCCTTCCAGCCAAACTGGTTGGTGAAGCCTATTGGCCCTTCTGGAGTAGAGGCTACAATGAAGCAAGGTACAATTACCGGGGCTCAATAGCTGTTTTCGCAGTTATTTTTTTTCTTTGGCTTTACTTCCTGTCCAGTGATTGCTGACCATCTGTGTACTACATAGCAATGATTAATGATACCTTTTGCCGTTGGTAGTGTTTTGTTGCATCCTGAAAATGGACAGTGTTGTGTGTTTTTTTGTCTTTAGGGTGTGTGTTATTGTTGTGTTCAATATGTTGTTGAGAATACTGAGGATGACATGATTTTATATGTCTGTTTAGCCATCCGAGTGTTGTGTATGATTTGTTGCAGTCTGATAGAGGGCATTTTAAGTTTGATGTTGTTGATATGGGATCTGTGTTGCGTGTGTTGTGATCATTTCTGTAGTGTCTGTTCATTTCTTTCTTTGTAGCAAACATTCGGTTACAGTTTGGATTTTGACATGGGTGTGTGAGATCTCTTTGCCCGATTATTTTTGGGTGATGTGTGTTTGATGATGTGATTTTTACTTTTGTTGGCTGGGCTTGCCAATTTGTAGGTAGCTGGTTTTTCATTTCATGGATATCTTGGTTTAGTTGTCTAATCCAACTTTTTGTGTGTGCG